CAAGGATGGGAACAGGAAGCCTGTTTATTAGGAAAAAAATATCAAAAGAACTAAATGTGCATATTTATTCCATGCTGAATTCTTAAGTGGGCATTTATTCCTAAGCGTTAGCAAGCTGCAGCAGCAGCCGGCTAAAATGAAGTCGATACAAAGCACAACATTGTTTTATCCTTCTTGCTGAATAAGAGACTTTGTTAAGGACTAATGATTTTCACTCTGTCTCTCACTGTGAGGCAGAGATGCTGACGATAATTAACCTTCAGCTGTATCCGACAAGACGTCAGATGCAGTGTCACAACCAAATGCTTCTTTGGTGAAAAATGTGAGCAATACACAACTGAGGCATTACAACAAGAGTATGTTTACTTATAAAAGACAAGTTGATGCAGACTATTGTTTTTTTTTTCATGTTATCTAAGTATAAAAATTTGAAATTTATTCAAAATCTTCAGCTGTAAGGGTGTATTCACACGAGACACATTTGGTCTGTCTTAAACGGACCAGAGTTTGTTTCCCCTTGGTCCAGACCTTTTATGCAGGGTTGAATACAGGGTTGAATACACTTATGTATATGTGAATATATGAATCCTGGTGCAGATCAAACAATCAGACCAAAACCCGTTTTTTGAAGTGGCCTCTGTCCGCTTCCAAACTAACTCTGGTGCGATTCGTTTCTGGTGTGAATACAGATCAACCTCGAACCGAACCAACTACAGGAAACAAGCACATTTTTGGACATCATGGGACACCGTTGCTAATCATCATTAGACAATCGGTGTTGCTAACACTGCGCTACAAAAAAATGAGTCGTCATGGGTCAAGAAACGCGGAGCATCTTATCTCCTATAGGTTGTGGCACATATTTGACATCGCTGTCCCAAAATTATAAGTAGTTATATCATTGCAAAACCGCCACTGAATGATCTGATATTCTTAATAGTCAGTTGTATTAACAMCTCTATCCTTCTGGGTCTGTCCTCTGTCCTGCCCCCGTCATTTCTGTCCAACGGGAGCAACCATCACCTGTGTGTGTTTGTTTATAAAGTATAGTCCACTTGCAAAAAAACACAATGTGAATGCAAACCTCATTGAGCGAAAATAAAGTCCGCRATTTGGTCCGGACCAAACAAATGGACCAAAGGACCTGGTGTGAATACACTCAAATTGTTTTTAACTCTAATCTGTCAATGTTTAGTGCGACTTGTTTTTGTAGCACTTTTTTAGAAAGTTTATTTATTGATTGATGCTCAGCTATTGTGTCTGAATGAACTGATTGTTTCTGCTGTCACAAACTGTTATTTTCTCATGCACTGTCTGAATAAAATAAAATAAAATAAAATTTCTGGAGCAGGCTGTAGGAGAGCTCCTTAAAAGAAAAGCTAACAATCGTCTGAAGTATCAATGAACATTTGACTCTTATACTTTTAGTTTGTAACAAACCGTTAGCTACATGAACCACGTCAACTCCTTTTCTACCGACACATAAAGCCAGAGTCATCAGGTGAGACAGTGAGAGAAATTATTCTAACTGGTAGTTAAGCAAGTGAATGCACTTGATATCAGTAAGTATTAACTGTGTTTTATTTCAACTGAAGCTGAAATGCTCGATTGTTAAGTCTTTTGTTGTTGGCATCTTTTAATAAATTTGTAAATAAAACATTTCTCCACCACCATATAGTTGTATCTCTGTTATCAAACCACAACCACTCTGGAAGCTGGGGGTGGGGGGGGGGTCTGAAGCACCTCATTTTGACTTAAAGAAACAGCTTCAAAACGAGTTGCTTTGAGCCACACCTCAGAAAAGGGGTGAAAGAGAGGATTGTGGAGTGGATTGTGGAGTTACAATAAGGATGAATTCAGACCAAAGCATTGCAGTTCTAGATAAGATAAGATAAGATAAGATAAGATAAGATAAGATAAGATAAGATAAGATAAGATAAGATAAGATAAGATAAGAAAAGAAAACTTTAGTGATCCCACTGTGGGGAAATTTGCACATTACTGCAGCTCAATACAGGAGAGGGTGAGATAGAATAAAGAAAGATAAGTAAAAGAAAAAAATATATACACTGCTCAAATAAATAAAGGGAACACTTAAACAGCGCACGCTAACTCCCAATCTTAATCAATGAAATATTCGCATTGAGTACTTTGTTCTGTACAGAGTTGAATGTGCTTCACAAAAGTTTGATTTACTTGGAACTAGCGTGCGYTGTTTAAGTGTTCCCTTTATTTTTTGAGCAGTAATGTTCCCTTTATTTTTTGAGCAGTGTATATAACCCAACTGAATGATTTAAATGTGAAAAAACAGGGATTTAAAAGTAAGATATGTCTCCTTTATGTATCTTTTGTTTGCTGAAAACTTTGTAAAAATGAGTTGGGCAATTATTTTAGGAAGGTGACAAAGTATAAAATATATAAAACTTTGAAGTGATGCAGCACAGGTGGGGCTACGAAGCAGTTTCTGCTCTGAAAGACAGTTTGAAGTTACGATGCCTTCCCTGCACAGCAGTACACCTCACGCACAGCAGGACTCTTGTTTTTTTAAGACACAGAAACAGGCTTCCTAGGGGTGGTTAAGAAAACATGCATGCTCACTCATAGTTCATCATTATCTCCACTCACATGAAAACCATCACTAACCATAGCAGCAACTTAAGTTAAAAACAGTAAGAACAGAAAAAAAGACATAAACTATGAATTATTAGATTAAGCAATTCAAACAAGAAACAGAAATACACTAAAGGAATGCTGGGAAACTGTTTAACTATTCCCGATACATAACATCATTGTAAACTCAGTATAATCTAATTCTGACCAGAGAAACCAAAGCAAACCAGGAGAAAATAGACATGAATAATGAAAACATACATTTGAGAATCAAGATTTTGACATCTCACAAACTAATTTTGTCTGAAATACCGATTCCTAAGTGTGAAAATRTTGTTTGGTTAATTATCAAACTATAACGTCTCCAAACGAGGTCTTCAYCCTTCCTTCTAAAGTGCTTTTTGCCTTAATTATAATTACTTGTTTTAATAATCATGTAACCTTTTACAAATTATGATAATTCTGATGTTGTGAGTAGAAATCACTTTGATTATCATAATCATAAATATTCATTCTCATAAAGTTTGCATGTTGACATATTTGGAATTTCCCCGAGCCAATCACCAGCAGCAGAAATGAGGCTAAATGTTAAAGCGATGCTCTTTTATTGCTTATTTTTGGACTCTCCCGTACACAAAAAAGCRAGTCTATCAGCCAAATCTGGCCCATGACCCAACTGTAAAGATTATTTTTATTGCCGAGACTGAGCCTTTTTCATTTGGAATGAATTATGTGTGGGTTACTCAAACTCAAGTCAGATAAATAAGGAGGGAGAGGGGAAAAAAAATCAATTACAAAAATGTTTCTATTAAAACAACAGATGAGTGTGGGCCACAAACTGGCTGAGGAATTAGATCTTCATTTAAACTAATTGCTCTTTAGTAACACATCTCATCTTCACTTTGGTACAGTATAAGTTTTCTTGGATGGACAGTATTTTTGAGAATATATGCTTTGAGTAAATGCTTCAAGCAAAAAGATCACTTTCTGTTGATTGAGCTTCACACAGGTTTTTTTTTTTTTTTTTTTTTTTTTTTTTTTTTTTGCTTAATTTGGATTATTTACAACTGGCTCTCTGTTAAACAAGTTCTTCATTTTGGATATTTTATCAGTATATACCAAGAGACTTCTACTTAGCAGGGCATTTTTTTAATTTCTTTTATTTTTAAGGATTGCTCAGTGTGTGCTCAGAGAAACAAATAAAGTCAGACTCTGTGGGGAATTGGGAACAACCCTTCAAGTTAATATGAATGCACAGTGGAAGGCTAAAAGCAGACACACTTCAAACAACAGACAAACTCCAAACAGCATCAGGGCTCCATGTAACATGGTAATACCATACTGAGCCAAGTGTTGAAAACCATGATAAACCTGATCAGCCTTCATAATTACTGAGCTGTTGGAAGC